GTTGTTGACTTTAAACAGTGCTGTCATTTAAAGAGTGTGTGTGCGTTTGTGTGTGTGCGTTTGTGACGCAGTTGTGTAATAAAACGTGTGCGAGCGATCCAGAGCGATGGCGTCAAAGCAGGGATCAGATCGGGCCTTTCTGCCCAGAGCAGCACACGCCGTGCACGCTCAAATCGTAGCTCACATTCGTTCAGTTTCCATAAAACACAGAATAATAAAATCCTGCTGTGGTACCGGAGCAGCAGACACATCCCGCTCCGGCTGTGGAGCAGACCAACCGGCTGTTAGTGGTTTGAGAAGGGAAGCCTCGGTGTCAGCCAAAGACCCACATGAGACACCGCCGGCAGACCTCAGCGTCGTAAACACGTCTGAGCAGCAACTCTGGGTCAACCGGACTGTTGTTGTTTGCTCGGGAGTAAAAGGAGACAAAACGTTTCCCGGTCGTCTTGAAACCGGAGCGTGAAGAGTCGCTGCAGCAGCGTGGAGGCAGTCGGTCTAAAACTTTCCTTCAAAGCACCGGGAGCAGCTCCCGGGCCTTTTGAAGTCGAGCTTCAGACGTAAACCAGCTGATAAACCAAGAACTGTTGTGACAGGTGCTCCTGGTCTCTGCTGACCCGGAGCCCCCCCACCTTGGTGCTGCTGCTCCGGAGACTCACAACCAGATCCAGAGCGGAGAACGAGCTGTAAACATCACCCACTGCCTGCACAAACCCATGTGGACCCGAATGCTGTCCCATGTTCACATACGTGGACGACCAGCGCGGTTTTTGAAAACTGGACGTTCAACCTGCGCGGCTTGCTGGTCCCTCGGATCTATGATCCCTCCAGAGAGTTCTGGGTCTCCTCCCAGTGGAAACATTATGAAAACCTCGTCTTAATCAGAAGAACCTCCTTTTGATGCAGAGGAGCAGCAGCTTCCCCCGGATGACAGAGCTCCGCCTCCTATCTAAGGCTGAACACCCCCACTGATTTATTGGTCAGACCAATAAATCCAGAGCTTTGCCTTCAGACTGTTCTTTCTTCACCACAATGGACCGGAGCAATACCCTCATTACTGAGGACAAGGCCCAGATCCGTGGATCCAACTCTCGCTCCATCACCCTGAACTTGTCCTGAGGCAAAGACTCCCCTGAACCCAGAAGGGGTGTTCTCTAACAGAAAGACAGGTTAAAGTCTCGTGGCAGCTCGTTTTGTTATTACGCTAAAAGAAAACGAGCCGGTCACACGGCGTGAAGAAACACCTGGCGTTGAGAGAAGGCAGAAAAACATCTCATCGTTTTCAGAGCCAGAAAGAAATCCCTGCTTTGGATTTGAAGAGACCGCCTCGTGTTATTTGTTGTATATTCCAGGCCTCACCACTTCACGAGACATTTGTATTTTCCAGAGGAAGTTGGAAGGGGTGGGGGCCCCGGCAGCCTAAAGGCTCTCCGGGCATGCAGAGAGTCCTGCCAGCAGCGGGCACCAGGGGCTTATAACTCCGACCCAAAGAGCCGAAGTGGATAAACTCCGTTAAGTGTTCAGGAATGGTCTCTGGCTGCAGAAGGAGCTGTGCTCCTAATGAGGTTTCCTCGGTGGTTCCCCTGCATGTTGAGACGCAGAAACTTTTCCAGACTGGCCCCCCAGGAACCAGAGCTCAGATTCTGTGGACAACTTCCATCTTACTGAAGCAACTTGACTGTGTTAGAAGTTCAGGACAGCCACTAACATGGTTATCTTTCAAATAGGTCGCAGCAGCTGAAGGTTGACTCTTATGCTTCACGGTTTCTTCTGGTTATGTCAGGTGTACCCCAAGGCTCCATTCTTGGTCCAACTCTCTATATATAAATGATATCACATTTTGTTAGTGAGGCCTCCATTCATTTATATGCCGATGACACCATTTTATGTGTTTTTGGTTCTACTCCGGATGAGGTTGTGAAGGCCCTTGCATTTCTTAGTTGTTTAATTCACTTTGGTCGTGGTCCCCCTTGGATTAGCCGTTAGCATTAAGCGGCACCGTCCACTCTGCTCTGGACTGTTTTAAAAACAGATTTGTTCCACTGCGTTTGCACCTTCCATCCACACAACCTGTTTAGGGTGAGTAATTTTTATTTTGTAAACCCTGTTTCTGGTGATTCTGTGCAAACAGGAATCCCCGAGCTTTTCAGAATCTATGAAGTAGCAGATTTACATCCCAGCCTCCCAAGCAGAAGTAAAGCTACATTTACAGATTTTTCAACGTCTGTCTTGTTTTAGTCAGATCCTGTTAGTATTAACTCTCAGAAGGTCTCATTAGAAAAATAATCAGACATGCTTTTATTTTTGTTTGCTTTAACCTCACGGGAATGTTACTGCCCTCTAGTGGTCTTCAAGGGAAAACCAACCACATTGAAATCCCATTATAAATGCATTTTCTGGTCCCATGTATATCATAAAACATGCATTCCTTTAGGTAATGTTTGATTATTCTACCTCAGTCTCTACTTTAGATTTTCAAATCAACCCACTCAGTGACACTCCTTTTTTATATTTGATGGATGCTGTAAAAACAACCAACAGGAGGCGGGACTTACCTGAAGAGGTGCGGCTGGACGTTCCTATATAAATATCACAAACACACCTGTGTCGTGCATGAGTAAAGTATTTAGTACAAAAAGTAGAGCCGCATGCATGCAGGCTGCAGAATCAGACGCTCCGGGGCCCTGAGATTAACTAGTTTTTTTTACAGACAAAAATATTTTAACTTTTTATTTTTCAGCAAGGTGGTTGATTTTCCACTGAGGTATATTTACTGACTCAAAGTTAAAGGGCCGTCATTGTTAAAGGTTGCTTGTGTGCTATAGGAAACTGCCAACAGTTTTAAGGAACAAAACAAATCAAGATAAAATCTTTAGCTAAGCTGAAAATTTTCTTTGCATCTGAAGTTATTGTTAATCTGGACTCTCCTGCAATCTTGTGGCTCTGTCGGGGTTTCTGTTGGACGAGAAAAAACAAAGAAAAAAACTGTTAAAAGTCGTCCAGAGTCGGCCATTTTGTAACGTGTTTGAACTTTTAACCACATTTTTTCATCCACTTTAAACTTTCTTAAAAACATTGTGTTGAACAATAAAAGTAGCGTGCAGAAGTTAAAGACCACAATGCATTGCAATCTGAGGCGACGCAGATGCTAACGCTAACAGCTGCAGCCCATTGTTGTGATTTTCACATTTGAAATGACCATAAATTTGATGTTAATGTGTATCATAAAAAAACACAAAGGTCTACTGAAGATTCTCAATCAGCCAGAAATTCAAAAAAGTTCAAGACAAAAACAACTTAGATCATTTCGCTTCTCATCCGAGGGGCTTTCTAAAGCTGAGCTACATATGCAAATACTCCATGATGCAGTCTAAGTGGACACAGCTGTTAGAGGATTTTTGATCAAAGGTTCTGGATGTTTTTAACTATTATGTCTGAGAATATCAACTCTGCCCATGAACCGTATGTTTGAGTTAGCAGAGAGAGCTGGATGAGGCGCTGAGAGGATGCAGGCGCAGCTGTCGCTCCGGACGCCTCCGCGTCTGACCGAACTGATAAAAGTATAAAACCAAGCTGCACACGCAGCTCGTGGCAGATTCTTGTGGCTAGTCTTCGTGTGTACTTCCTGTTTATCTGTGTAACCTGTCGTGTAAATCTGACCTTGCAAGTAAATACCAGTTAAAAATCTTCTCATGCTGTCGAGTGTGGTTCCTTTTGAGTCAGCGAGAATATCTTTCTCTAACAACAGACTCTTTTTTTAATCAAACGAAGGCCTTCAAAGAGCTACTTGCAACAGGTAAGATATTCTTATCTTACCCCCATTTTGAAACATATGAGCTCTTGCTTTAAGCAATAATTACAAAACTACACTACAGGCATTAACAATACTACAAAAAGAGCAATAAGAATAATCTATAAGGTGGGATATTTAAAAAAGCACTAATATACTATTTGTAAAATCTAAATGATTAAAGTTCATTGACACAGTGAAACTACAGACAGCTCTAATTCTTTACAAAGCCAAAAATAAACAATTACCAGAAAACATTCAAAACCTGTTTAAGACTAAGGAGCAAATTTATGAGTTAAGGAGGAATCACAGTTTAAAATATGCAAATTCAGAACTACTAGAAAAAACCTTTGTGTATCAGTACGTGGAGTCAAACTGGAATAATGTAAAAACTGAACTTAGACAATGTCCAAACATAAAACTGTTCAAATGATCATATAAACATATGATTATTGCTGGATATAATGTATAATATTATTATTATTCAATTATTGTTGTTGTTTTTTATGTTATTGATGCTTTTGTTTTTTGTGAAGTTAAAGAAACAATAATTGTTCATCTACTATATATATACTATATTGATGTGTTAAATATGGTATTAGTTGTTATATTTATGGATTATTACATGTAATGTAAGATTATGTTAGCGGTTAAGGAGTGGGAATTTTGATAAGTTTATACTTCTACCCACTCCCTTTAATGTGTAAAACAAAAAGTTTTGACATTAAGCTTCATGCAGCATTTTTGTTTTTTACATATTCAAAAAAATAATAAACTAAACTAAAGTCTAAAACCTGGAAATGCACTTTAGGACCATGTGGTAAATGATGACACTTAAACTGAAGAGGTGGCCTCTGATCTCAGAGGAAAACAGAGAAATCATTTCAAGTAGCTGTTTGCACACGAGTGAGAGGAGAATGATGCCAATCAGGCATTGATTACACAACGAGGACCACTCTGCCTCCAGAAGACGGAGATTAATAATTATCAGATATTATTGGGTCAACAGCGCCATTTAGTGGGTTGTAGCGTAAACAGAGTTGTGCGGATGGACCCACCCCACTCTGGCCATCCAACCAATCAGATTTTTCCTTCTAACCCTTTCAACCAATCATAGTAAAGCAAGTCTCCCGTTCAGCCAATCGGAGAGAAAGAACCCGCCCACTTTGTCCAGCCGGACATTAAAGTGTCGCTCAAGCGATTTACTGGCTCTGTCGTCATCATTATGCGTCAGATTCTTAGCATTTGGTGGCGACATGTGAAGAAAACACGAACAGACAACTTTCCCGACATTTAAGTTACAGACAGACATCAGTATATCGTGAAAACAGACATTTACGAGTAAAACAGTGACCGAAGCTTCGTCTGTCGGCGTCACTCGCGCCAGTGCTTTTCTGTTCCAGCTAACAGGATGGATAACAACACGGAGGGGGAAGCCATCGAGTTCCACGGAGACGAGGAAATCATCGAAGTCATCGACCTGAACGACACGGAACCATGTCCAGGTGACGAGGAGGTCGGGGCAGCTGTTGTTGACCTCCCGCAGCTGGTTCTCGTTGTTTAGCTTCAGTCTTGTGTTGCAGAGGACCTGGCTGACGACCTGCAGGACGTGGGCTTTGAAGACGCAGAGGCTGATGATGATGAAGGCTGGGAGACGGAGGACGAGATGGAAGCTGAGGCGCAGCAGGATGACAGCGAGCTCACCTTTTCCAAGCACACAGGTAAGACCCCGCCCCCTGCAGGTCCGAGCCTCGGCCTCTGTCCTGGGGTCACAGCCTTCTTCTGTCCAGGCTCGGTGTTCTGCGTCAGCTTGGACCCGGCCACAAACAGCCTGGCCGTGACGGGAGGACAGGACGACAAGGCGTACGTGTGGAGGGTGAGCGACGGAGAGGTTCTGCTGGAGTGCACCGGTGAGCGTCCGGTCTGTGCTGCACAAGTCACTGCAGAGACGAGCCGGTGCCGCTCGGCTCCGTGCGTCTTCAACGTGATTCGCAGCCCGGCAGCGCCTTCATTTAACCAAAGCTCGCCGTGTTTCCTCCTCAGGACACAAGGACTCAGTGTCGTGCGCCATGTTCAGCCACGACTCCTCTCTGGTGGCGTCGGGGGACATGAGCGGCCTGATCAAAGTCTGGAGAGTAGAAAGCAAAGAGGAGATCTGGTCCTTTGAAGTGGGGGACTTGGAGGTAGAGCCGTGGAGAATGCAACGTGTCGAGCGTCGCTGCGAGTTCTCACGTTCTTCTTTGTCCTTCCCCTCAGTGGTTGGAGTGGCACCCCTGTGCTCCGGTGCTGCTGGCGGGGACGGACGACGGCAGCGTGTGGATGTGGAAGATCCCTTCAGGCCACAGTAAGACCCTCCAGAGTCCTGGATGTCAGGCCACCTGCGGGAAAGTCCTCCCCGACGGTGAGAACACAGACGCACCACATGGGATGAGCTTAAAGAGATGCAGACCTCAGATCAGCAGCGCAGATCGTTGTAGACGATCTTCTCTTTGGTCCAGAACCTGAAACCACTTCCTGTGAAACAGGAACCAAAGGAGCAGAAGGTTTGGAGTTTAGTTCTCCGACACTTTGAGCTCGTGTTTTGTTCTGTGCAGGTAAACGGGCCGTTGTGGGCTACGAGGATGGATCGGTGCGAGTGTGGGACTTAAAGCACGGCAGCGCCGTCCACGTCATTAAAGGTGACGAACCGTTAACGGGACTTTTTAACGAAGATGAATTATTGTGAGCTAAAGGAGCGGTGAAGGTTCTAAAACGTTGAACTTCGTTAAATGAGACGACAAATGTTGAGTTCTAGTAACTTCTGACAGGTCAGGATGGATACCTGGGGGCGCTGACCTGCCTGGCGTGCAACAAGGATGGCTCTTTGGTCCTCACGGGTTCAATGGGCGGCTGCTCCAAGCTCATCAACACCGCCACGGGAAAGGTGGGCGCTGCTGTGACGGAACCGTAAATTCAGAAGAGCAAAAGTTTTTTTTAACAGCTACGGGGGAAATGTGTGTACAGGTGGTCGGAGTTTTCTCCAGAGAAGAAGGCAAAGCCAAAGGACCGAAGAACGAGGGCGAGTCCAACTCTGTGGAGTCTGTGGGGTTCTGCAACATGTGAGCTGGAAAACGTCCAGAACTTTGACCCAAGTTGACACTTTTCTGTAGAACATGAACAAGAAGCATCGACTGAAAGTTGAAAACAGTCTTTTGATTGAAACTTTAAAGGGTTTCCTCTGTCTCCTTCTGTCCAGCCTGCCTCTGGTCGCTGTGGCCTACCTGGACGGGACGCTGTCCATCTATGACCTTTCAGCTCAGGTGCAGAGGCACCGGTGTCAGCACGAGGTAAACCTAAAGTATCAGTTTTTACTTCTTCATCATAACTACGGTCTACGTTTAACAAACGTTCAGATGCGTTGGTGTGAAACTTTGATTTCGTGTCTTTGTGCTCCTCCAGGCTGGGATTGTTCACCTGCGGTGGGAGGAGTCTTCTTCTGTGGTGTCCACCTCCAGTTTAGACGGTGTGCTGCGTCTGTGGGACGCTCGATCCGGCAACTTGTTGTCCGAGTACCACGGCCACACCGAGGAGATCTTCGACTTCACCATCAACAGGTCCAGTTAAACATTTTCAAAGTTTCACCACCTGCTCCTTTAGATCTGTTCCATCACTCAGACGGACAACAAACGGCACATGGCTGTCGTTATTTCTGACTGAAGGAGCAGCTGAACTGTGTGATGCTGCTGAATTTACATGGACAAGTTTGTTCAAGCTTAGTCAAACAGAACACTAGCTAAAAGTAGTCCAATATCAGCTAAAAGCAGTCCATTAGCTAAAAGCAGTCCATTAGCTAAAAGCAGACGAGCGCTGGCTAAAAGCTGTCATGTGTTAGCTAAAAGTAGCCGAGCGTTAGCTAAAAGCAGTCGAGCGTTAGCGAAAAGCAGTCGAGCGTTAGCGAAAAGCAGTCGAGCGTTAGCGAAAAGCAGTCGAGCGTTAGCGAAAAGCAGTTCAAGGTTAGCTAAAAGCAGTCGAGCATTAGCGAAAAGCATTCGAGCGTTAGCTAAAAGCAGTCCAGCGATAGCTAAAAGCAGTTCAAGGTTAGCTAAAAGCAGTCGAGCGTTAGCGAAAAGCATTCGAGCATTAGCTAAAAGCAGTCCAAGGTTAGCTAAAAGCAGTTGAGTGGCAGCTAAAAGCGTTAGCTAAAAGCAGTCGAGCGATAGCTAAAAGCAGTCCAAGGTTAGCTAAAAGCAGTCCAAGGTTAGCTAAAAGAAGTCCAAGTTTAGCTAAAAGCAGTCGAGCAATAGCGAAAAGCAGTCGAGCGTCAGCTAAAAGCAGTCGAAGGTTAGCTAAAAGCAGTTGAGCGGCAGCTAAAATCTGTCGAGCGTTAGCTAAAAGCGTTAGCTAAAGGCAGTCGAGCGATAGCTAAAAGCAGTCCAAGTTTAGCTTAAAGCAGTCCAAGGTTAACTAAAAGCAGTCGAGCGTTAGCGAAAAGTAGTCGAAGGTTAGCTAAAAGCAGTCCAAGTTAGCTAAAAGCAGTCCAAGGTTAACTAAAAGCAGTCGAGCGTTAGCAAAAAGTAGTCGAAGGTTAGCTAAAAGCAGTTGAGCGGCAGCTAAAAGCAGTTGAGCAGCAGCTAAAGGCAGTCGAGCGGCAGCTAAAAGCAGTCAAGTGTTGTGCACAGGTGAGCTTTAGGCTGACCACAACAAAAGGCCACTGTACAATGTGCAGCTCGACAGTGTTTGGATTCATCTGTGGAAGCAACACCGCTCCAACGGGCCGGACATCATCCAATGTGAGCGTTTTGTCTACTCAAGCTGGTTACAATGAACTGCAGTCAGGTGGAGACTCCCGATGTGGTCTGCTGTTGTGAGACTGGTTAGATTGTTGGATATTTGAATTATCCTTTCATCAACTCATTAATAAAAAAATCCACGTAAGAATGCGAGAAGATCTTTTCGACCCAGGTTTACGTCTTGCAGCATTGAAAACAGAGGTATTGATGGAAGCTCTGGTCCAAGGTCTGGCAACAGACAAAGAGTCAGGAACAGCTTAAATTCTGGGAGGAGGAGGGGTCAACACGACCGCTACTTCAGCTCACAGTTGTTGAAGGCGTCAGAAGTTATCAGGACAGAAAATCTCTTGACTTCACGCACATGGTTTTATATTAACGGTAAGTGAAAACATCCGTGACCTTTACATAACTTCCCCATCATGGATGAACTGCCAAATTCTCTGAAACACCTTCTGAGACGAATCATGGTGGAGAAATGAACATTTAATTCACGGCAACATCTCTGCAGACAGCTGCTGCAACATCTGTGGCCTTTTGTTGTGGTCAGCCTAAAGCTCACCTGTGCAACAGTCCTGCCGTCTGATCAGCATCTTGATCGAGGTGGAAAAAGTTTGAGATGTTTGAGTTCATCTCACGAAGAATGGGAGCTAAAAGTAAAGTGCTGTTTACACGTCTGGTTCTGGTGGTCCTCTCCTCAGGGAGGCGTCTCTGGCCGTCACAGCCTCTGCAGACAACCGGGCCAAAGTGTTCTGCCTCCAGAGACCCGATCGATAGACGAGGCCGAGGAGCCGACTGCCCGAAGAAACAAACGTTCGGTTTGACCTCACGCTCTCCTGAGGATGTGAAAGTCTTCTGGTGTTCGGACCTCCTGGTTTTGTAGTTTCTACGGTTTGACTCGCCCAGAAATGGAGGTTCAATGGCAACGAAATGTTCTGATGGTTTTAGTCTTCTTCAGAAACCCGAGGAACTAAAAGTGAAACCCAACAAATGACAGAACCGTGTCCTCCCTTTGGGATCCACTTTTAACCCTTCCAAAGATTTTAGACGTGAATTTGTTTTCTGTGATCTTTTGACAAAAGTTTGGACTTTTTCCTGGAAGCTGTGTGTGGTCTTCAGCTGTGTGTGGTCTTCAGCTGTGTGTGGTCTTCAGCTGTGTGTGGTCTTCAGCTGTGTGTCGTCTTCAGCTGTGACGCTGCTCCTGTAGAATCAGAGAAATTAATTAAAGAAGCCTGAAATTTAATGGGAATTGGGGACTCTCTCTTTTGTTCTCTTTGGTTTGTGATCATCTGATGGTGACTCTGTTCAAACTCGCTCATTTTAGTTCATAAATGTGTTTAATCTGTTTTTCAGGTAGGACCTTTGGGATCAATAAAGTAGATTCATTGATGATTGACTGGATGGAAGAAGAGTCGAGACTAAAGTAAAAAATTGTACAAAATGTTGTTCGTTGTAGTTTACGACTTTACGAACAGCCCGAAACTTCACAGGTTAATTAAAAGCAGATTAAAAAATAAAAACCAGGGATTATGTTTAATCTTATTTGTACTCTGAATTTAAAAATATTAAAAAGTTTGGGTCCGGTTGTCTGGACGGGTTCTTCTGAGCACGAGGACACGTTTCGTCCTTAAAACTAAATTAACGAAAACTAACAAAAACATTGATGTTGTTTTTTGTCATTGATTCGTTTGTAAATTTACCACAAATTCACAGATATTTGTTTTTGTCATTGAAACTTCCGTAAATTTGTTGTTTTAGTGACAAAAACATCAGAAAAATTTACTTTTGTTAATTTTTGTCATTGAAATGTCGTTAAATTTATCGTGAATTCACCGGTGTTTCTGTTTTTGTCATTGAAATGTTAACTTTACCGTGAATTCACCGGTATTTGTTTTTGTCATTGAAACTGTAAATTTACGGTGTTTTCATAGAAGTTTCAGTGACAAAAATGAACTGAAAATCAACTTTTAATCATTAAAACATCGGTAAATTTACAGACGTTTCAATGACGAGAACATCAGTTGATGCTTCCATACTAAGCAGCAAAAAACTATTGGAAACATCAACTGATGTTCTCGTCATTGAAACGTATGTAAATTTACCGATGTTTTAATGACTAAAAGTTGATTTTCAGTTCATTTTTGTCACTGAAACTTCAAAAAAAACCACCGTAAATTCACAGTTTCAATGACAAAAACAGAAACACCGGTGAATTCACGGTAAATTTAACGACATTTCAATTACAAAAATTAACAAACATCAATTCATGTTAGTTTTTGTCATTTAAACGTTGATAAATTTACCATCACTTGTTACTTTGTCATAGAATCGTAAATTTACCGTGAATTCACAGATATTTGTTAGTTTTTGTCATTGAATCGTAAATTTACCGTGAAT